AATTTTCCTCCTCTGGAAAATTTCTAGATTCTTTATTTTGGGAGCTTGCTGAAGCTATCATGGATTGCTTCTTTATGTGATGTAATATTGACTGTTGTCTCTGGGCCATCAATAAGTTATTATAGTTATTTATTTCATGTTTGCTTACTGCGTCCCAGCTTCTTGTTTTGTTTTGATATGTCCAAATAGACTGCTTGTATGAGCTAGTTTGATTATTGGCACCTTTGAAGCTCTAATGTCCTGTCATCTAGACCTGTTACTAGGTATGTAAGTTCAGGATTCCTCCCACTCTTCCTGTATGGATTCAGCTCAGGTGCCCAGGTAGATAGCCACCAAATGTGTGGTGCAGGCTCTCACTTACAGTCCTAGACAGGCATGGGTGATTGGTGTAGGCACAGGCATCTGGCTGTAGTAGGGGGACACACTCTGAGCAAGGCAGGGGGCTGATGGCCGCTGCCGAGTGTCCAGGAGGACAGCATGTCCCTGTTCCCTAGAGCGCGTGGTGGGTTTTGCAGTCAGACCATGAGCACCTAATGCTGTTGGCTGTAAGGACTGGGGGGCCCCTGTTATTCATGGGCCCCTCTCGCAGGTGGCTAGGTGGCATAGGTGGAGCCACCAGTCCTCAGGCCCCTGATGTGGGTAGGTGAAGACCCTACTTAATGGGCAGAGCAGTGTCAAATGTCAAGAACCTGCCACTTCACAGCTGAAACAGTTGAAGTTAGACTTCCGGTATATACCCTGTTGTACTGTGGTAATGAGGACCTATGCTGTTGAGATGGGCCCACACAAGTCTATGCAGGGGGAAAGGCACTCAAAGTCCATGGATCCCTTATGCCTGTGCCTAGGCAAAGGAGCTGTGCCTACCCTGAGTTCCTGGCTTAGGGGAGCTGGCAGTTTATTTTTTCCCATTTGTTAATTTGTTCACACTCCAAGGCAGGGAGAATGCCTCTGTGCGTGTGGCAGATCCTACTTCTGGCCCAGGGGACTTGGCAATTACTGAAGCTGGTCTGGGACCCAGTGCAGAGCAAGGAGTGGGGTGGTAAATGGGAGAGAAATTTTTCCCTAAGGGAGGTGTTTTTGATCTGCACGGTAGGCCCTACTCAAGTACTTATCTTTCACTGATGACGGCTGCTTCTCACTGGTTCTGGGTGGCCGTGTAGACTCTCTGTTACTGGGTCTCTCCTGGTGCGGCAAATGCGCCTCCCGAGCACCACCGCTTGCCTGTCTCACCGCTCACCCACAAGCTGCTCAGGCCTGAAGGGCTCAGGCTCTCGCCGGGTCAGGTCTGGCAACTCCTCGCTGCTTCCAAACTGTCTCTCCCTCCCCCTGCCACTCAGTCTGGTTCCTCAGCTCTGCCTTTGATGTTCAGGGCTCCCAGATTGCCACATGTAATCGAATCATTTATTTTTTTGCATCTTTGTTGTAAGAGGGTCCATCAGAAGCGTCTGACTACTCCACCATCTTGGCCCCACCTCCCTGATTATAGGGTTTTTTCATTGGCTGATTTTCAGAAGTAGATTGCCAGACCTTTCTTCCTAGTGTGTCTTAGTATGGAAGCTCTGCTGAAACCTATTCAGCGTCCTAGCAACACGCAAACCTCCACTGACAGACAGGTGGTGGCTGTGGATGAGGTGCATTGGACGGAAATCAAACCCAGGTCTCCTGTATAGAAATCAATAATTGTACCACTGAGCCACCAGTGCCTGGGTCTATCTTACCCACCTCTTTTTCCTCGATACCAAGTGTATAGGGTCCCTAGCAAAGGTCCCTGAGTGGTGCAAATGGTTTGCAATCACTTACTAACCAAAAGGTTGGTGGTTCAAATCCACCCTGTGGCACTGTGGAAGAAAGGCCTGGTGATCTGCTTCCAGATTACAGTCAAGAAAACTCTATGGAGCAGTTCTACCCTGTAACTCATGGGGTCGCTGTGAGTCGAAATTGACTTGACAGCAACAGGTAAAGGTCCCTATCTAGGAAATGTGGGGAGTATTGTTTGAAGGAAGGAAAGAGTGAAGGGAGCCACGGGGACTTGGAACTCGGTTTCTTCTTTGTGAAGTGGAACTAATGTTTCCTGGCTCCCAGAGCTTGTCGAGGCTTAAATGGCCCAATTGGCCTTGACAGAGGGTGTTCTATCACAGTGTAAGAGGGTCTGGGCTTCCCACATCCTCGCCAACTCCCAGTGGACTTTTTTTTTCACTTTATTGAGACATAAAATCAGTTGCTGTCTAGTCAACTCTAACTCATGGTGACCCTGTGTGTGTCAGAGTAGAATTGTGCTCCATAGGGTTTTCAGTGACTGATTTTTTGGAAGTAGATCTCCACGTTTGTCTTCTGAGGTGCCCCTGGGTGGATCAAACCGCCAACCTTTTGGTTAACAGCCAAGAGTGTTAACCATTTGCACTACTCAGGGACTCAAACAGTGGCATTTTTTTTTTAACAGCTTTATCGAGACATAAGGGGGCATTGGTGGTTCAGTGGTAGAATTCTCACCTTCCACACAGGAGACTTGGGTTCGATTCCTGGCCAATGCACCTCATGTGCAGCCACCACCCATCTGTCAGTGGAGGCTTGTATGTTGCTATGATGCTGAACAGGTTTCAGTGGAGTTTCCAGACTAAGATGGAGTAGGAAGAAAGGCCTGGTGATCTACTTCTGAAAATCAGCCAATGAAAACCCCATGGATCACAATGGTATGATCTGCAACTGTTCACGGGGATGGCGCAGGACCAGGCAGTGTTTGCTTATGTTGTGCATGGGGTCACCATGGGTCAGTGGCCATTTAATGACAGCTAACAACACCAAAAACATGGAGATATAATTCACATACAGTGTAATCCACCCGTTTAAATGTACAATCCAGTAGTTTTTAGTATAGTCAGTGTTGCGCACCATCACCACTGTCAATTCTAGAACATTTCATTACCCCAGACAAGACACCTCACACCCCATAGCCATTGTGCTCTAACTCCTCCCTCCCTTCCAGCCCCTGGCAACCACTCTGATCCACTTCCTGTCTCTGTGGCTTTGCCTAGTCTAGATATTTCATGTAAATGGGCTCATACAGCATATGGTCCTTTGTGACCAGCGTTTTTCACTCAGCATCGTGTTTTTTGAAGGTTCATCCATGTTTACACTGGGTTTTTTGATCTGTAATGGGGGAGTGCTGGTGGCTCCGCAGTTAAGAGCTCAGCTGCTAACCCAGAGGTCAGCAGTTCGAATCCACCAGCTGCTCCTTGAAAACCCTATGGGGCAGTTCTGTTCTGTCCTTTAGGGTGGCTATGGGTCAGAATCGACTCCATGGCAACAGTTTTTTTTTTTTTTTTAAATTTAATAGGACGGGTGGTTTCACTTGACTTTTCTGACTTAGAGTTGAGGTTGAGTGTCGCTTCCTTTATAATTCGGCCTGTGTGTTTCCAGGGCTCCATTGGCCTCCAGAGGACCGGAAGCCTGCCCCGGAGGAGGGGAGAGAGGGCGAGCCAGAGAGGATCCCCCCAACCTCTGTCCCTCCGTTGTACTGGTGAGGACCCTCTTTTTCCCCACCTGCCCGCGTTCCCCATCACCACCTTTCCTGAAACAAGAAGGAGCCGGCAAGGATGCCTGCCGGGAGAGAAGGGAGGGAGTATCCAGCCCTCTGACCCGGCCCCCTCTCCCCCAGGACCCCTGGAGGCCTCAGCTGTTTCGCCAGCAGCAGGAGATTCTGGGAGACACCCCCTCTATCAGCTGCTGAACTGTGGCCCTGGGAATAGGTGAGATGTCCGGGATGAGTAAGGAAGATGGGAGGAGAGAAGGCTGAGCCTCTCTAACCTGCCCTGGTCTCTGTTCCCTCCTCCTAGCTGTGGGGCCGTCCACCCAGACATCGCTCGCATGGAGCGGCTCCTGCAGCAGGCTGTGGCAGAGAGGGAGCGGCTGCTCAAGGCCAGGGTAAGACCACAGACTCTCCTCCTTAGGGACAGGGGATCCCACCCCAGCCCCCTCCTCCTCAGACCCACGAGTTGGGGCCCCCAGCCCTCTCCTCCCTCAGACTCAGGAGTCCAGGCCTCCAGCGCCCTCCTCCCTGAGATCCAGGAGTCCAGGCCCCTGGCCCCATCCTCCCTGAGACCTAGGAGTCCAGGCCCCTGGCCCCCTCCTCCCTCAGACCCAGGAGTCTGGGCCCCCAGCCCCCTCCTAATTCAGACTCAGGAGTCCAGCCCCCAGCCCCCTCCTCCCTCAGACCCAGGAGTCCAGGCCCCCAGCCCCCTCCTCCCTCGGACCCAGGAGTCTGGGCCCCCAGCCCCACCCCCTCAGACCCAGAAGTCCAGGCCTCCAGCCCCCTCCTCCTTCATCACCCAGCAGCCACAGTGCATTTTTCCCTGTGTTTTTCTGGTCAGCATCCTCATTGACTGCTTCATCCTGTACCCACAGGAAGGGACAAGAAGGAGCACAGAAGGTTCCGCGGGCCCCGCTGTTCCTGCCATCATGGTCAGTAACCCCCCTGCCCTCACCCCCACCTCTCCCTTGCTCTCTTTCTCCCCCCACCCTATGCCCTTTCTTGTATCTCACCCCTTCGTCTCCTCCAATCGGACAGAAAAGTGTGCTGAGCTTCGCAGGGGACAGGGAAGTAAACAGAACGCAGCTTCTGTTTCTGTTACGGTCATCTGTACCCATCTGTGTCCTTGGGTCACTTGACCTCCTTCCGTGCCTTAGTTTCCTCTTCTGTAAGTTGGTGACAATGTCAGCAGTTACTACAGAAGAAGGGCAACAACATGCCGGGGCTTTTAAAAATAATTTAAAAGTTTATTTATTTATTTATTTTTATTTCAACTTTTTATTACAGAATTTTTCAAACATATGCAAAAGTATAATAGTATAATAAACTCACACATACTACGTAATATTGAAAATTATCAATATCCAATCTTCTTTTACTTGTCAACTTTGTTTTACTAATCCCCTACGTACTTTCTATTCAGCACTGGAATATTTTAAAGCAAATTCCGGATATTGTATCATGTCACCCATGCTTCAGAGGAGCCCTGGTGGCACAGTGGTTAAGCACATGGCTGCTAACCGAGAGGTTGGCAATTTGAACTCACCACCCACTCCGTGGGAGAAAGATGCAGCAGTCTGCGTCCCTAAGGATTTACAGCCTTGGAAACCCTATGGGGCAGTTCTGCTCTGTCCTGTAGGGTCACTATGAGTTGGAATCAACTCGATGGCAATGGATTTGGTTTTTCTGGTTTACCCATGCATCACTATATATTTCCAATAGATGAGTTTTTTTTTTGAACATAACAAAAATCCCATTATCACACCTTACAAGACTACTAGTAATCCCATAACATTATAATACAAAAACTGTTGCTGTGGAGTCATTTCTGACTCATAGTAACCCTGCAGGACAGAGTAGAACTGCCCCACAGGGCTTCCAAGGAGTGGCTGCTGGATTCGAACTGCTGACCTTTGGGTTAGCAGTCGAGCTCTTAACCACTGTGCCACCAGGGCTCCAGCACAATACATACTCCATATTCACATTTCCCCACAGTTCATATTCACATTTCCCCATAGTCTGTATTCACATTTCCTCACAGTCCGTATTCACATTTCCCCAGTTGGTTCTAAATATCTTCTTATAGTTGAGTCGTTTGATTCTGGGTCCAAACAAAATATGCACAAAGTATGTGATTAAAATGTCTCTTAAATTTCTTTCAATCTCTCAGCACCTGCGCTCCCTCCCTCCCACCTTTATTTATTTATTTATTTTTTGTTTGTTGTTACTTTATTTTTTTTTAATGTCATTTATCCTGTATCATGCATCCTTGGTTTAGCTGATGGCTTCCTTATTAAAATTTTATTTTTATCTATGCTGATAGCATGAGTACATTTTTGCCATAAGGAACCAGACAATATTGAGAAAGTGAAGGTCACCCTTAAGCCATCCTCCCCGATCTTGCCTTTCCCAACAAACATGTATGGAGTGCCTGCTGTGTGCTTGGAGCCCTGGTGGCTCAGTGGTTAAGAGCTGGGCTGCCAACCAAAGAGTCAGCGGTTCAAATCCACCAGCTGCTTCTTGGAAACCCTATGGGGCAGTTCTACTCTGTCCTGTAGGGTGGCAGTGAGTTGGACTCAACGCGACGGCAATGGCTTTGATTTTGGTTTTACTGTGTGCTAGGCCCCGGGTGGCGCAAACAGTTTGCACTTGGCTGGTAACCGAAAGGTTGGTGGTTCAAACCCACCCGTGGCTCCACGGAAGAAAGGCCTGGCTGATTTCCTTTTGTAAAGATTATAGCCAAGAAAACCCTATGGAGCTCAATTCTACTCTGTAACACATGGGGTTGCCATGAGTCAGAAGCAACTCAACAGCAATGGGTTTGGTTGTTTTCACACAGTGTGCTAGGCCTTGGATTAAAGGCAGAGACCAAAATTAAAACCCCTGCCCTCGGGAAGCTGTTGTTTAGTGGGGCAGATGAACAAAACCCAGCGTCAGTAAGTAAAATAAACAGCATGTGAGTTGCTGATAAGAGCCAGGGAGAAAAACAGAGCAGGAAGGCAGTGGAACTTTCTGGGTTGTTAGGTATAAGCTCTACCTCATAAAAAATGAAACGCCCCAGCTTTGTAGTTCTCCAGAGTGTGGGTGCACCATCATTTATTCAGTAGTCCCTGTTGTGTGCAGTGTGTCCCTGGAATTTGTACCTAGAAGTGGAATTGGTGGGTTGAAAAACTTGGCAGTGGCTAGTGCCTCCTTGGAACAGCCCTGTGAGCGGGATGCGGTGATAACCTCCAGTTTTCAGAGCAGGGACTGAGGCTTCGAGAGGGCCAGGGGTTCCGTGGAGGTGATGTGGCAGGGGCGTGGTGAAGTCGAGAGTCCTGAGCCCATCTCTGTTCTCCTCCTGGATTGGGGCCCGGCTTCACTACATCCTAGCTGGGTGACCTTGGTGAGTCACTGCTTCGCTAGAAGCCTCTCTTTCCTCATCTGTCACACGGGGACAGTAATGGGTTGTTGCTGAGTCCCTGGTGGAGCAAATGGTTAAGCGCTCAACTCTAGCTGAAAGGTTAGCGGTTTGAGGCCACCCAGAAAGGCCTCAGAAGACACGCCTGACTATCTGCTTCCAAAAAGTCACGGCCATGAACACCTGTGGAGTAGTTCTACTCTGCACACATGGGGTCACCATGAGTTGGAATCGACTTGAAGGCAGCTAACAACATCCGTGGGTTGTTTGGAGAGGAGACGAATCACTGTAATGGCCTTGGCCCCGTGCCTGACACATAGTAAACTAAAAAATCCAAACCCATTGCCGTCGAGTCAGTTCCAACTCACAGTGACCCTATGGGACAGAGTAGTACTGCCCCATAGGATTTCCAAGGCTGTCATCTTTATGGAAGCAGACTGCCACATGCTTCTCCTATGGAGTGGCCGCCGACCTTTCAGTTAGCATCCGAACCCTTTAACTGCTGCGCCACTAGGACTCCTTTGAAATGGGTACTATTACTCCTATTTACAGATAAGGAGCCCTGGTGGTGCGGTTGTTAAACGCTCGACTGCTAGCTGGAAGGTTGGTGGTTCGAACCCACCAGCCACTCTTCAGGAGAAAGATGTGGCAATCTGCTTCTATAAAGATTCAAAACCAAACCAAACCCATTGCCATCAAATTGAATTTTGACTCATAGTGACCCTGTAGGATGGTGTAGAACTACCCCATAGGATTTCTAAGGCTGTAAATCTTTAGGGAAGCAGACTGCAGCATCTTTCTACCACGGAGCAGCTGGTGGGTTTGAACCGCTGACCTTTCAGTTAGCAGCCAAGTCCTTAACCATTGCACCGCCCGGGCTCCTCTCTGTAAAGATTACAGCCTTGAGAACCCTATGGGGGCGGTTCTACTCTGTCTTACAGGGTCGCTATGAGTCAGAATCGACTTGTCAGCAATGGTTTTTTTTTTTTTTTTTTTAAATCTTTATGGAAGCAGATTGCCACATCTTTCTCCCAAGGAGTGGCTGGTGGGTTCAAGCGGGTGCTCTTTTGGTTAGGAGTCGAGTGCCTAGCCACTGCTCCACCAGGGCTCCTTCTGACACATCGTAGAGGCCTCCATACACATTGGTGGTCATTATTATTGCCATATGGATTTGGTGAGGTGACATGTAAGGTTCCAGGCCCCCGTAGGTGCTCTTCGAACCGTGCCTTCCCGTTTTGTGCAGTCCCCTGCCTCTTTCTCGTTTCCCTCCGCCTCGCTCTCCTTGTTCCCGATCAGTGAATCTCATCTCATCTCTGATCCCTTGTCTCGCTGGTCTCTTCAGTTTCCTAAGCCCTCTCTACTCAAAATGTGGTTCATAGACCAACAGCATCGGAGTCCCCCGGAAGCCTGTTAGACCTGCGGAACCTCAGCCGCACCCCAGAAGTACTGACTCAGTCTGCATTTTAACAAAATCCCCAGGGGGTTTGCTTGACCACTGCAGTCTGAGATATACTGCTGTAAGCCTCAGTTTAAAGGAGGCCTGGTGGCACAGTGGTTAAGCGCTCAGCTGCTTACAGAAAGACTGGTAGTTCAAACCCATGAGCCATTCCGTGGGAGAAAGATGTGGCATTCTGCCTCCATAAAGGTGACAGTCTTGGAAACCCTGTGGGGCACTTCTGCTCTGTCTCGTAGGGTCTCTATGAATCCAGATTGACTTGACGGCAGTGGGTTTACGCCTTGGTTTGACCATGGGGCTCACACCATTCTCTGCAGGGATTATTTGGGTATGAACAGACACAGCCTCTCCTGATGTGTTGCGATAAGGGCTGGGGTAGGGTGCTTTGTAAGCACTGATGAGGGGCACCTCACCCAGACAGGAAAGATAGCACTTCCAGATGTGGCTTCCATATTGATAATGGCGCCACCATTGTTGAGAGTCATTGACCCCTCCTTCACTCTCATCTCCATGTAAGCAGTAGACACTTTTATTGCCTTCATTCTTCTCCCCTGACCTTCATGGCCACCTGAGATGTCCATGCTGCCTAGTGAGGCTTGGCTCCGTCAGCTCCGGCTGTGTGACTTGGGCCTCATGACTTAACCTCTCTGAGTCTTGGTTTCCACATCTGTAAAGTGGGGATAAATGTACTTATCCCCAGGGGAGCTTGAGAGGGCAGAGAGAATATGTATATAAAGTGCTTGCTATGGTTAGTTGCTGTTGAGTCAATTCTGACTCATGGTGTGACCCATGTGTGCAGAGTAGAACTGCTCCATAGGGTTTTCAAGGCTGTGAACTTTTGGAAGCAGATCGCCAGGCCTGTCTTCTGAGGTGCCTCTGGGAGGATTTGAACCACCAGCCTTTTGGTTAGTAGTCTTGTGCTTAACTATTTGCGCCACCCAGGCACTATAAAGTGCTTCGCATAGGATAATAATCACAAGAAGAATAACAATAATAGTAACAGTGAAAGCAATGTTCTTGTTTATTGATCACTTACTGTTGGGTCCCTGTTTTACAGAGGTAGCATAGGAGGGCCCCACTTTGGGGACCTTGACCCAGGGGTCCCTCATATTTCTGACATGCCTCTGGTGTTTCACAGTGAGCTCTAGGCTCAGGAGGTCGTGGGTTTGAGTCCCAACTCTGCCACCTAGAAGCTCTGTGGGACCTAGAGTGGATTATTTCATCTCTGCATACCTCAGTTTGCTCATCTGTAAAATGGGGCTCATAGTAACCCTGTCCCAAGGGTGGTTATGAGGGGTCAAGGAGTTGATGCTCATAAAGCCCTGGGCAGAATGTCATAGTAAGTGTAGCTGCTGGAATCATCATTATCATCATCGTTGTTAATATTACTGTTTAAAGACTTTGGTAGGTAAATATACTTACACCTGAGCTGCTATGATTGGGCTCCCCTTGGGAGGCTCCAGGCTGCAGGATGGTCAGCTGCCCCTTCTCTTCCCTCCCCAGCCCCCACCCACACCCCCAGCCCACCCTCCAGGCCCCCGCGTCTTGGATCTCCAGCAGCACCTGGAACGATGGGGCCACAACCCAGAAAACTGCCCGCAGGTGCGGGTGTCAGGGGGCTGCTGCCGCGGACCCCTGGTCAAGATGGGAGGCCGCATCAAGACCTGGAGGAAGCGATGGTTCTGCTTTGACCGCCAGGCCCGCCGCCTGGCCTACTATGCAGGTAAGTCCAGCTAAGCCGCTTGGGGCCCTGTGCCCCCAGGACCTGGAAGAGTCCAGTCTGGAGGCCTTTTTCCTCAGACACCCAGGAGTGCTGGCCCCCAGCCCCCCATTCTCTTAGGCTGCTGACTCTGGGTCCCTGGCCCCTTCCTCCCTCAGGATTCAGGCATCCAGGTGCCCACTTCCTGCTTTCCCCAAGATCCAGGAATTTGGGCCCCTAGCTTCTCCTTCCCCATCCCAGGAGTCAGCTCTCAGGCCCCTCATCTCCCAGGACTCAGGAGACCAGATCCCCAACTCCTTCCTCTTTAAGCGACCCAGAATCCAAACCCCTAGCCCTCCTCAGTAGCATAGATATCAGTTCTGTACAAGTCTGGCTCCTAGACTCCATTTTCTTACAATACCCAGGAGTCTGAACCTGGATCCTCTCCTCCCTGTTCAAGACACCCAGGAATCAGACCCCCAGTCTTTCTTCTCTAGAGGAATCAAAGATTCTGACACTCTCCCTGAGCTCCTGCCCTTCTCAGGGATCGAGGTATTCAGACACCCAGGATTCCAGCTCCCCAGACCCCACTCCCCAAGATACCCAGTAGTCTGGGCCCCAGTCTTGTCCAGCCTCCATGCCCAATCTCCCATGTAGCATCTTCAGCCTTCAGATTCACCTCACTACCACGGTACTGCAGGGACCTTCAGACCCTCCCCATGTTCCTTACCCCACCCCTAGCCTCAGCTTGGGCCCAGGGACCCCATCCCAACACACACACCCTCACTGTCTCTGTCTCTCCCTTGCCTTCCTCACCAGACAAGGAAGAGACCAAGCTCAAAGGCGTCATCTACTTCCAGGCCATCGAGGAAGTCTATTACGACCACTTACGCTGTGCCTTCAAGGTGACGCCCTCCCCTCAGTGTGGCCCTGTCCTCCCGGTCGAAGCCCCTGCAGTCAAGCCTTAGTTCATCCCTAGCTCATCCATCCCATCCCAGCCCAGGAAAAGCCAGCCATGGCCCCTACTGTCAGAATCCTCGCCATCCAGGATGGGAGACCAGCAGGCCATTTCCCCAGGGGCCAAAAATTAAGAGCCCAATCTCTGGCTCTCAGCCACTGTAACTTTTCTTGGAGCAAAACTTTTAGAGCAAAAATGTGGCACACTCTGATGCCAAGCCAGGAATAAATGAGGGCAGGAGAAGGATGGAGTGGAGGCAGCCTGGGAAGCAAGTAAAGGAGGTGGTTATTACTCAGCTCCTGCCCATAGCTGCAAGGTGGGAGTGGGCCCCATGGTGTCACATCATATTTATTTTCCCCCAGAAAACTCAGGACTCAGAACTTTCATAAAAGTGCAGTGCCAGAGATTATTGTTGGCAAATGACTCCATTTTAGGAAGCTGTATGGAGAGCAAACAACTATGGCTTTTTAGAGCTTAGATTGGAATCTCAACTGTGTGACCTCAGGAAAGTGGCTTCCCTTCACTGAGCCTTAGTTTTCTCATCTGCAAAATGGACACAATCCAGCCCCCTCCTAACGGTTATAAGATTAAAACAGATAACAGATGTAAGACATTTACTCAACTCTGGGGTGGTGGTACAGTGCTTAAGCGCTTGACTACTAACTGAAAGATCGGTGCAGCGGTTCGAACCCATCATCCGCTCTGTGGGAGAAAAATGTGGCAGTCTGCTTCTGTACAGATTCACAGCCTTGGGAACCCTATGGGGCAGTTCTGCCCAGTCCTACAGGGTCGGTATGAGTCGGAATTGACTGTTGGGGTTTGGTTTTGTTTTTTGGGGGGGGCTGGTATGTAGTAAGCTGTTGTTAGTTGCTGTTGAGTTGATTCCAACTCATGGCGACCAGTGCACGACAGAATAAAGCGTTGCCTGGTTCCTGCACCATCTTCCTTCATGATCGTTGGTATGTCTGAGTCCATTGTTGAGGCCACTGGGTATTTGGAGTGCCTTCCAACCTAGGGGCTCATCTCCCAGCACTATATTGGACAGTATTCTGTTGTGATCTGTAGGGTTTCCATTGGCTAATGTTTGGAAGTAGATCAAAACACACAAGCCATCACAGTGTGACACAGTGAAAGATGGGTGGTGGATGGAGTAAGTAGTTACTCAGTAAATGAGTTCTAGCCACTAGGTGGCTTAATCCAATTACAAACCCGGGCGGGGGCAGGGGACTTAGATTTTGGGGAGAGGGGATTTGAACGCCTATATTCCTACTGTGGGAGAAGGTAGGCTGGGGGAAAGGCCGTGAATCCTTTTTTAATTTGTCTTGCTCCCACTTTAATAGCAGTGCTTCTCGTAAGTTAATTCTAAGCGCTTTCCTTGGTTAATTCATTTAATCCTTAACATCCCAGTGAGGTGGGTAGCACCATTTAGGAAGACAGAAGATTAAAACTAAGTAATTTGTCCAATGCCACAGGGCGTATAATTAGCAGCCCTGAGATTCAAACCTGTGGTGCTGATGGTGTGTGTTCTCTTAACCACCCCCACTCTGCTGCTTATTTCAGAGCCCCAGCCCCCGCCTGACGTTCTGCGTCAAAACCTACGAGCGCCTTTTCTACATGGTGGCCCCAAGCCCGGAAGCCATGCGCATTTGGATTGACGTCATTGTGACCGCAGCCGATGAGAACCACGCCCCCTGAGTGGCCCCGCCCCCGGGGAGGACGTCCCACCGGGGCCCCGCCCACTGCGGGAAAGCCTGGGCCCGCCCCCTTGGAACTCTCCGGGGAATCCTGCTCAGCCGCTGTTCGGCTGGTCTGAACCTCGGCGTTCTCAGCTGCAGAGGCCTCCTGGGGCAGGATCCCAGTCTCTAGGGCCCTGCCCGGGGCATAAGGATGATTGCAGGGGTGGAAACGAACTATTTATTGGTGCCCCTGCGATACAGAATTAAACATGGAGGAAAAACAATGGTTGCTGCTGTGGTTTACAGTCTAGGTGTCGGAGGCCTCTTGGCCCTTAGGCAGGACATGCAAGTTATGGATGCCTCTGAGAACTAAGTATCCCATAGCTGGCTCCCCACTCTAGGAATGGAGACCTTCAACCCTGAGGTCATGGCAGGTGGGAGCCGGGCAGTGACCCATTCCTTTGTCTTTGGGGATTTTACCCTGATTGGGTTATTTGCAAATCCTAGGACCTACAAGGCCCCCTCGCTCTAGGCCTTGGCATATGTTGTTCCCTCTGCCCTTACACACACACACACACACACACACACACACACACCCCTGAGCACTCTGGGTCATCACCAGTTCCTTATGGGACTGAGTGCTCCGTGAGAGCAGAACTGGGTTGTCTTGATCACCACTGTCCCCAGCACCATGTGGCACATTTCATACCATGAAAATGAATAAAAATGCTTCCCTTTAACCTCTCAGGTACTGCTCCCTTGTTTAGGTACTTTTCCACACTTTACCCAACGCCTACTCATCATTTAGGTCATAACTCAAATGTTCCTTCTCCAAGAAGTCCTCCCTGATTCTCCTGGCTGAGTCCGATGCTTCCTTTGGGTTCCTGCAGCCCTTGGGCTTCCTCTCGGACCCGTCTGCCTGTGGCTCCCCCATCCTGACCCTAACCCATCTATTTGTGCCTCCCGCTTCCCGGCCCTGACTACCTTGGGTCGTCACTGCTGATGAAAGCATCTCCCCTGCTGGAGTGGTTGCCCCAGGAGGCACGGACTGGTCCTGTCTTGGTCACCACTGAGCCTAGTACAAACTAGACGAGTGAAAATCTGAGGGCTGAATAAATTCACGAGAGAGAGGTGCTAAGGACTGGGGACAGCCATGAACAAGTCAGACAAAACTTTTGGCTGACTTCATCCTTTAGCCTCATCTTAGATGCCCCCTCCTCCAGGAAGTTCTCTCTGATCCCTAGGCTGGGGCAGGTGCCTCTTCTGGGCTTCCAGAGACCCCGTGGCTCCCCCACCACAGCCTCGACCACTCTAGGCTGTTTTCTTCTGGAGACAGGTCATTCCCCCTCTCAAGTCCTTCTGGATCTGGGCATTCAGTCCCTCTAGTTCCCACCGCCTCAGGCGCTGATGTCCCATCCTGGATTACTGACTTCCTTGAGGGTTCAGATATGGTGCTCCCAGGGATGGAATACCCAATAAGCAAGGTAGGCATGGGCTTACTCATAGTCTGTACTGTGCAATTTCACCTGTTTTTCACCACATCTGAGAACCAGATTCTACATTCCTGCACAATGACCTCTGTGGACAGGGGCTGGTAAGAGCCACAGAGCAGGCCAACTGAAAGTGGTGTATTCAAACCTCCCTCTGCTCTCTGATCGTGGGCTAGGCGGAAGTCAGCTTCCAGGATCTAGGCAGGCCTGAGCAAGAGGAGACTCCCCATCCCACTCCCTCCCAAGACACTAGTTCTCCCGGTTGGGCCAGTTGGTTGGGCCAGTTGGGGGTTCCTCCCTGAAACTCTCCCACGTGGCTGGGGCCTGCAGGGCCTTCTGCTCCTCAGCACACAATAATCATAGGACAATCACCCTGCCTGCCCCTCACCAAGTCCTTGCTCCAACCCTCCGGAGGCAGGGCGTTGCAGACCTACTTGACAAAGGAGACAGCTGAAGTTCAGAGAGGGAGACTGATTTACAGCCACACAGCAAGGAGGTGACAGATGCAGGATTAAAATTTTAGTCTGATTCCAGACTTGAGCCTTCCTCTACTCATGCACAAAGACACCCCTTCCTTTGTTATAAAAAGGAGGCCTGGAGGGCTCAGAGAGGTGAAGATACTTAATCGAGGTGACACCGCACACCAAGATGTGGCTGGGATTTGGAGACAGGGAGGCAGGGCCAGTCCTGAATGACTTCACAAGATGCCACTTTCGCTGTCTGTGCCTCAGCGTGATGTCAAGTGACCCCACCTATGTGACTGAGGTGCTTGTCATGGTCGGGAGTAGGGGTGCTCACAGAATATGGGGAACAGATCATATCCTTACAAACACAGCCGCTATTTTTCCTGCCATCAGATAGCGAGCCAGTCAGAAGGGGCTGGGTTTGACTCCTGGCTCTGTTGCTTCCTTCTTGTGTGAACTTGAACATCTTCGTCTCGTTAGGTCTCATTATGAAATGGTCGTGCCTTTCTACCCTCTCGTTAGGAATTCAAGGAGAAGTTGCTTGTAAAAGGGCTGAACACAGTGCCTGGCACAGAGTGGGAGCTAAAGAAGTAGGGTCTATCAGTGAAACTCATGTGAACGTGTTCATTACAGATTCATAAGTAAGCACAAGTAAGCCTCTCTTACTGGGTTATCTGCCCCTGCCAGGGATTGTACATTTGAAAAGAGGTTTTGCTCCTATAGGAGGGTGCTGTGGGGTTGGGAGAGAGACAGACGCCAGCCATACCTGGAAGCAGAGTCTTTGATGTGGTGAAAAAATGTGAAATTGTTCACTACAGGTGATCTGGTAAACAAGGTAAGCACCGTGCTTACCTTGCCTATTGGATAATCCGCCCCTGTGGTAACCCATGTGCCCATGTATACTTGTGTGGGTTCTTGAGCCAGACTACATGGGTTCAGATACTGCCTCCATCACTTCCTACTGTGTGACAAGGGGAAGTTGTCAAACTTCTCTCTGCCTTGATTTCCCCATCTGTAAAATGGCTATCATAAAAATATCTCATAGGGATGTAGTGTGTGGAGTAATGCCTAGCACATAGGAAGCGCTAAATAAATGTGCTACTGTCATTGTTTCTGCTTTTGGAGAAGGTCTCTGGACGGACACCAAAGAATGGAAGCCCTTTGCCCAAGTCAGTGGCAGAACTGGGACTTGAATGTGGGAACCTGATTCTGTGGGGCAAAATATCAGGTTCAAGGCCAGGCTCTGGCCCTGATGAGCAGCAGTGGAGGCTTTCAGAGACAGTCCTGGGTTCAAATCCCAGTTCTGCCACTTCCAAGCCTCTCCCAGCCTCAGTTTCCTCATCTGTGAAATGGGGCTCATTCCCCCCTTTGCAGGGCAGTTGTGACAGTCAGAAATGATTCATAGAAAGTGCTAGGCATGCAGTCGGTGTGGAATAAATGATATTGCTCTAAGTCAACTCTGACTCATTTCGACCCCATATGACAGAGTAAAACTGCCCCATAGGGTATCCTACACTGTAATCTTTACAGGAGCAGATCGCCAGGCCTTTTCTTCCGAGGAGCAGCTGGTAGGTTCCAATCACCAACCTTTTGGTTAGCAGCCGAGTGCTTAACCGTCGCGCCACGAGGGCTCCTAAATAAATGATAACAGTCATACTGTATTTACCTTAAAGGGTTTCTATAAGGATTGAATGAGCTAATGCATGCCCAATGCTCACAACAGTTTCTGGCAATTGTAAACACCAATACTTGGTCACTGTTGTTATTATTATTACTTTTGTTATCATTGTTATTCCTATGACGAACTACCTGGAAGTCATCTTGAAAACCTCCCACTGCCTCTTCCCTCACATTTGATCCATGGTCATTCCTGCCAAGTCTTCTTCCTAATATATTTTGGATCTTTCCACTTTTCACCATTTCCACTGCTACCACCCTAGGTCAGGTCACCATCATCTCTTACCTGCGGCAATGCCCTCCAGCCAAAGACCACTTGGAACACACCTGGAATTGAACAAGTTGGGTTTAATGTTCATTGCGGGGAGGGAGAACGCACACCATGCAGAACTGTGGGGCATCTCCGTAAGAGGGTGTCAGAAAGGACTTACAGGATTTGGGTTGTGTTTGGTGATTTGAGGGAAGGTTCAAGGAAGCAGAGCTTTGCTCTGGATTGGATGCTGTATGAAAGTACAGGCAATTCTATGATTGGTATTGTAATAAATCTTATCTAGGAGGCAGGTGGAATGAAGCACGGCAAAAGCTGTCAGTTATCTTAATGTAATGCAAAGCAATGTAATGTAATGTAGCAGTCACAGATCAGCCAGAATACGAGGATGCCTAGTCATTTTGTAGTTTGCATGATGTTTTCGTTTGTTTCTGTGTTCAGACATGATCATGGCGTGCCCTTGATTTTGTTTTGAGTCATCACAGTCACAGTGTGGCCTTGTTTGATGTCGATGTGCTGTGAGACCGTTCATGCTCAACAGGAAAACCCCAGGGCCTCACCGTGAGTCCCAGGCCTGCTCCTGGCTTTCAGAGGTTGCTTTTCTTTATTACCTGGAAGACTGCCAGCTCTCTCATTCAACCCTTCTGCAGTCCTTTTTCTTGTTGACACTGAAGCCACCCTTCCCTTTTCGCTTGTTTTTATTAAAAAATAACGTACATTCAGTGTAGAGCGTAGGTACACAGCTCGGGGAGTCTTTGCAACGTTGCTGTTGGTTGCTGTCGACTCACTTCCGACTCAGGACGACCCCGTGTGTGCAGAGTAGAACTGCTCCACAGGATGTTCAAGGCTGTGACCTTTCGGAAGCAGATCACCAGGTCTGTGTTCCGAGGCATGTCTGGGGGTTCCAACCGCCAACCCTTCTGCAAGTAGTGAGCACTTACTTAACTGTTTGCACCATCAAGGAACTCTGTTCCGTAGTTGTACAGATGTAGTTATCACCCAGATGGAGATAGAAGGGGTTCCTCACTATTGCTCCTTCTGGGGCAATGACCTTCCAAAGGTAATCACTGTTCTGATTTATATCAGATTAGTTATTTTTGAATTTTTTTTTAGGGTTTTCTTTTTTTAAAAAAATGTTGTAAAATATATATACATATATATATATATATAAAACACAACACATGCCAATTCAACATTTTTGCATGTACAGTTCAGTGACACCAACTACATTCATCAATTCTCAGATTAGTTTCGACACTTCTAGAGCTTCACGTAAATGGAATGACACTGTATGTTCTGTCCAGCACTTCTTTAGCTCGCCATAAAGTTTTTGAGATTCATCTGTGCTGTTGCATCTTTGAGCAGTTTGATTTTTCCAGTGCTGTGTAGTATCCCACTGGACTAATGAACCAACCTTTATTTTTCCATTCACTGCTTGATGAATATTTACTTTATTTCCCAGAGTCATTATATTGAAAAGCAAGTCTTATCATGCTTCCTGCCCCGCACCCTGCCGCTGATGTAGACCCTCTCAAAGGTTCTCCACTTCTTTCAGAATAAATCCCAATTTTTCTTAAAAGCCAGTGAGCAGCCGTCTAAGATGCATCAATCGGTCCCAACCCACCTGGAGTAAAGGAGAATGAAGAACACCAAAGACACAAGGAAAGCATCAGCCCAAGAGACAGAAAGGGCCACACAAACTCGAGACTGCAATAGCCTGAGACCAGAAGAACTAGATGGTGCCCGGCTACCACCAATGACCACCCTGACGGGGAACACAACAGAGAGTCCCTGTTGGAGCAGGAGAAAAGTGGGGTGCAGAACTCAAATTCTAAAGAAAAGACCAGACTTAATGGTCTGACTGAGACTGGAGGAACCCCAGAGAGCATGGTCCCCAGACTCTGTCAACCCAGCACTAAAACCATTCCTGAGGCTAACTCTTCAGTCAAAGATTAGACTGGACTATGGGACATAAAATGATACTTGCGAAGAGTGTGCTTCTTAGCTCAAGTAGATACATGAGACTAAATGGGCAGCTCCTGTCCAGAGGCAAAATGAGAAGGCAGAGAGGGTCAGGAGCTGGTTGAATGGACACGGGAAATCTGGGGTGGAAAGGAGGAGTGTGCTGTCACAGTATAGGGAGAGCAACTAGGGTCACATAACAATGTATGTATAAATTTTTGTATGAGAGACTAACTT